AGTCATGCTATCGGTTGACACAAAGGTTAACATAAGCCATATGACATTCTATTATTGAACTGTTTAAAACACAGTCAACTTCTTCATCCAATATGTGCTGCCACTTACATTTGTGTCATTGCATATGTCAAAATCCTTTTGGCAAAGTGGCAAATAAGAACGCTCATTTCAATGTTTCTATGGATTTATATTCATTTTATATTTCTTAACAGAATTTATTGATTTTGCATTGATTAATCTAGGGGCCAGTTTATGTGGGAACAGGATGCATGTTCCGTCGATTTGCTCTTTATGGGTTTGATCCCCCTAAAAGTGATGATACCTCAAAGGGTACAGAGACACAAGCTTTGAGAGCCACGGATTTTGATCCTGATCTTGATGTCAATTTATTACCTAAGCGTTTTGGAAATTCCACAATGCTAGCTGAATCTATACCTATTGCTGAATTCCAAGGCCGTCCGGTTGCTGATCACCCCGCTGTTAAGTATGGACGACCTCCTGGCATTCTTAGGGTCCCTAGAGAACCACTTGATGCAACGACAGTAGCTGAAGCTGTCTCTGTCATTTCTTGTTGGTTAGTCTATCTTTGTTAGACTCTTAGTACAAAATTGTTAGTTGAATAGGTTTGGACTTTGATATGTGTGAACATTGTTTCACAGGTACGAGGACAAGACTGAATGGGGTGATCGTGTTGGTTGGATTTACGGTTCAGTTACTGAAGATGTCGTGACAGGGTACCGTATGCATAACCGTGGATGGCGCTCCGTCTACTGTATCACCAAGCGTGATGCCTTTCGAGGATCAGCTCCAATCAATCTCACTGATAGACTCCATCAAGTGCTCAGATGGGCAACAGGCTCTGTAGAGATTTTCTTCTCTAGAAACAATGCTTTGCTTGGGACCAAAAAACTCAAATTCCTCCAGCGCTTGGCTTACCTCAATGTTGGTGTATATCCTTTCACCTCATTATTCCTAATTGTCTACTGCTTCCTCCCTGCACTCTCACTCTTATCGGGCCACTTTATCGTGAAAAACCTCAATATTGTTTTCCTCATCTATCTCTTGACTATATCAATTTGCCTCATCGCATTGGCAATCTTGGAAGTGAAATGGTCCGGCGTGGGACTGGAAGAATGGTGGAGAAATGAACAGTTTTGGCTCATTTCTGGAACCAGTGCCCACTTCGCTGCTGTCGTACAAGGCCTTCTCAAAGTTATTGCAGGAATCGAGATTTCTTTCACACTTACTTCTAAATCCTCAGGAGATGACAATGAAGATATTTATGCAGATTTGTACTTAGTGAAATGGACTTCTTTGATGATCCCACCAATTGTTATAGGGATGATTAACATTATTGCAATGGTAGTTGCATTCTCAAGAACAATTTACAGTTCAATTCCTCGATGGAGCAAGTTCATTGGTGGAGCATTCTTCAGTTTCTGGGTGTTAGCTCATTTGTATCC